AGAGCTTTCTAAGGAATGCCCAAGGAATCTCCAAGGAACTGGTGAGGCCCTCCAGGGAATCCTTGCGCCATCTATGAGGAATCGCTTGGGGATCTGCAGGGGATCCCCAGGAATCTTGACGGATCTTCCACAACGGATGGGGGTGGCACTTGTGTGGTTGGATGTTGTACCGAATTGGTTGGAATCCGCCCAAGTGCGCTTGTAATCCGTCCCGTTTTCTGGCTGGACCCCCCCCCCAGTTCGAACCTGGACGGGGAGCGACCCGCCAAGGGCGACGACGACGACGACGACGACGACGACGACGACACAACGATGACGACGACGACGACGTCGACGACGACGACTGAGCGCTAGTGGGGTGCTAGTAAAATTGGATCGAGCCCAAGGCTGGATCGAGCTCTGGTGGGATTCTACTAGAACTGATCCAGACCATCGTAGAATCGCGTTAGAGTTGGATCGGGTCGTAATGCGATCCCTAAAGAACTGGACCAATCTCATCGTATGATCCCATTGAAGGTGGATCGAACCTAAGCACGATTTCATCGGGAACACTGGACCCAACCCTATTCGCAGAATCCGAGTAGAGCTGGACCGAGCCCTCGTCTGATTCCATTAGAGCTGGATCCAGCCCGGGTAGGAAGAGCTGGATCGATCCTCTTCAGGGTTTCTTTCGACATTGGCATCGGTTTTGTCTGATTTTATTTGAGTTGAGTCCAGCCCGAGTGGCAGGATTCTTCCAGCGCTCATACCCCCCGCCACCTCCCCCCCCCCCCTCCCGCCCCCCCCCCCTCGCCCGCCCCTCCCCCCCCCACCTCCTCCCTTTCCCTGCCCCCCGCCCCCCGTTCCCGCTCCCTTCCCCTCCCCCTCCCCCTTCCCCCCCCCTTCGGTTTCTAGAAGGGTGAGTTTTCCCGCCCCCCTGGTTCGTTGAAGCGGGGGTGGCGGGGGACCACCCCCTACCAGGTGGGCAAGGGGCGCCCGCGGGGCGCCCACGCATGATCAAGCTTTGACGCAAAGTATTTTTCTATTTCGGGGCATTATACATACATATACGGCCACCCTTCGGGTGATAAGGAGGTTCGGGGGACGAGGAACCAACGTCTCACTAGATCGGTCTGATTATCGATTCCACTATCGATCTCACTATCGGTCTCGTTCGATCGATCTCACTCGGTCGATCTCACAATCGATCGCGCTCGATCTATTTCATTCGATCGATCCCACCATCGATATGACCATCGATCTCACAATCGATCCCACTATCGATCTCACTGTCGATCTCACAATCGATCTCACATTCGGTTTCACGATCGATCTCACAATCGATATCACAATCGATCTCACAATCAACACCATCATCATCATCAGCATCATCGGGGCACCCTCATCATCATCATCACCACCTCATCAACATCGTCATCAACATCATCATCACCATCATCATCATCATCATCATCATCATCATCATCATCATCATCATCATCATCATCATCATCTTCATCATCATCATCATCATCGGGAGACCATCATCATGAACATCATCATCACTGGGACACCACCATCATCATCGGAACACCACCATCATCATCTCATCATCATTATGAACAACATCATCAACCTCAGCATCATCGAGACACCATCATCAGCAACATCATCAGCATCATCAACATCATCATCATCGGGACACCATCATCATCGTCACATCGTCATCATCACCATCATCATCATTGGGGCACCATTATCATCAACAACATCAGCATCATCATCACCATCATCGTGCCACCATCACCAACATCATCATCATCATCACCTCATCATCATCATCATCATCCTCATCATCAACAACATCATCAGCGTCGGGACACCATTTTCGTCATCATCATCGGGACACAATCATCATCGTCACCACCACCATCAACAGCATCATGATCTACCTCATCATCAGCATCATCGGGGCACCCTCATCATCATCATCACCACCTCATCAACATCGTCATCAACATCATCATCACCATCATCATCATCATCATCATCATCATCTTCATCATCATCATCGGGACACCATCATCATGAACATCATCATCACTGGGACACCACCATCATCATCGGAACACCACCATCATCATCTCATCATCATTATGAACAACATCATCAACCTCAGCATCATCGGGACACCATCATCAGCAACATCATCAGCATCATCAACATCATCATCATCGGGACACCATCATCATCGTCACATCGTCATCATCACCATCATCATTGGGGCACCATTATCATCAACAACATCAGCATCATCATCACCATCATCGGGCCACCATCACCAACATCATCATCATCACCTCATCATCATCATCATCATCATCATCATCATCATCATCCTCATCATCAACAACATCATCAGCGTCGGGACACCATTTTCGTCATCATCATCGGGACACAATCATCATCGTCACCACCACCATCAACAGCATCATGATCTACCTCATCATCATCATCATCGGGACACCATAATCATCGTCGTCATCTTCATGTTCATCTCATCATCATCTCATCATCATCAGCATTGTCATGATCATCAACATCATCACCATCACCGGGACACCATCATCATCATCGGGACACCATCATCATCAACATCATCATCATCGGGACACCATCATCACCACCAGCACCATCACCATCATCATCAACATCGTCAACATCATCATCATCATCAGCATCAGCATCATCATCATCATCAGCATCATCATCATCATCGTCATCGTCATCATCATCATCATCAGCATCATCATCATCATCATCATCATCATCATCATCATCATCATCATCATCATCATCATCATCATCGGGACACCGACGGGACACCGGCGGGACACCGGCGGGACACCGGCGGGACACCGCGGGCCACCGGCCCCCGGAAAGGAATCATTTGGTCCGGCCGCGCCTCAGCCGGAAGCGCGACACTGGTGGGACACCGCGGGCCTCCGGCCCCCGGAGAGGAATCATTGGGTCCGGCCGCGCTTCAGCCGGAGGAGACTTTCTTTTCGCCCGCCCATGCAGCTTCGCCTCGCCCGCACGCGCGACACGCACGAACACGAAACCGAAACTGATTTCCCAGTAGGGGGGCTCTCCGTTCCACTTCGATCTCACCCCCTCACCTCCGATATTAAAAAGCCTGCAAACAGCAGGCAGTGTGCCGGCATTCCCTCTCGTCCCTGCCAAAGAGCAGTGCTAAGCAATCGTCTGGTGCCCGCGCATGATCCAGATTTTGCCGCAAAGTGCATGCGGTTTGTTTTCTTAGAGTCTTCAGGCCTCTCGGGAGCCTCTTGGGCCTCCTAGGAGCCTCCTGGGGCAGACAGCTCGAAATGTCAGGTTCGTATTCCCTGTCTGGGATCCCTCTTGGGGCGTTCTTGAAGCCCTCTTTGGCGTCTTGGAGGCCTCTTGAGCCGTCTTTGGGGCATCTCGGGCCGATTCGGCACGATCCTGGGGGCCCCTTGGGCCGTCTTGTTGCGATCTTGTGTGTGTGGGCGGTTCTGGAGCGTACGGACCATAAAGGCAGAAACTCCCAAGTCCTGCAAAATTTGGTGAAAGTGATATGTGCCTGTTGGGGCTCGCTGAGGAGTGCTCTTGCGGGGCTCCTGGGTCGTTTTGGAGGCCTCCTTGGGCGGCCTCCAAAGGACCAGCAGGAAACGCTCCAGAGATCACGGGGGAAACCCCTGAAAACCCCAGGCCGTTGCTTGCTGCCATCTCGCCGTCCTCTTCGGCCGCCTCCTTCGTCGCCTAGGCTGTCTTCTCTTCCTTCTCTTCCTCGCCCTCTCCTCTCCTCTTCGTCCTCCTCGCCCGCCGCCTCCGCCTCCTCCTCCTCGCCCTCCTGCTGGTCGCCTTCGCGGCGTTGCTGCTGGTGGTGGTCTTGCTGGTCGCCGTCGTGGCGCTGGGGTGTGGTGGTGCGGTTGGTCGCGGTCGTAGCGTTGCTGGTTCCGCAGCAGCAGCAGCACAGCTGGGAGCCCTGGGATACTCCACGTCATGCCAGAGGCACGGTGGCGGATTTGAGCGTGAGAAGCTGGATTGGTCCTGCGCTACTCAATTCAAATCTTGGCAGTCATGCAGTTGTTACTGTTCTTACTCGTGCTGCTGCTCACCCATCGATCCAGGTACTGTCTTGCAACCGCCGAAGGCCCGTGTCATTGCTATTATTGCCGAAGGCAGTTCTATTTCATTGAGTCCCTTCAGGGGCCCATTCCTATTGTGTGAGGATGCCAATCAAGAAACAGTTGAGTCCCCAATGCTGTCTGAGGAAGTTGAGCTTGTCGTAAGCTTCCTCTAACCCTGTTGACAGCTTGCATTTAATTTGTCCTCAGCTTGTCATCGAGCATGCCCTCAAAGTGCCAGTAGGCTGCCCTTCAGCTTGTATTTCGCGCTTGTGGCAATACGTGTCTGCTCTTTCCGTACACTCTTTTTGTGGGCAGCTTTTATCTCACCATTACGGATATCAATCGTTTTTCACATTTTATTTTGACATTGAAAGGGGACACTTTAGCACTCAGTGCGGAGCTATGTCGGATGCGGTGGCTCAGCTTCAAGCTGCGCGCGTGCAGCCGCACAGAGGGAGCTATCCGTGGGCGCTTCCGAGTCCGAAAGATTTGGCCATCCACACGTGGATCTCATCACGAGTTGGCAATTCTCAGTCATACGTACGCGTCGCCCAGGGTGGTCGCGTGGAGTTCTAGGGGGGCTGTGGATGTGTGCTGTCGGATGGGGTCCCCGCTGGGACGGGAGCCCCCCCCCCTCGGAGTCCAACAATCCGCGACAGTACCTATCCCGCCTTCATCACACTACCGCTCCCCATTCCTCCTCCCTGTAGGTTTGAGTGTGTGTTGATCTTTCGCCTTGCAAGGGTATGCTGTCTCCATCTCTAGTGTTCACAACATTTTATTGTCGTGGTCGTAGCGGGTCATATCAGCTGACATCATGTGTAGGTCTTGGCAGTTGTGGCGGGGCAGGGGCCGACGGCGGCAACGGTCCCAGCGCGCCCGCGAAGGTGGGCATGTTCTTCCGATGTTTAAGGGGGGAAGGGCAGTGTTATGGTGCGGGTGGATGCAGAGGCCCAGATGAGAAGTAAGCGAGCGTGTGGCATCAGTACGTTGATTGCCCGTGACTCGTTCCCCACGAAAAGAGAAGTGTTCCTCGTGAGTGTTGTCGTGGCCTAGTTGGTTTGAGGCGTACACGGTCTGTGCTTTGTTCGATAGGCCTCCAGGTTTGTTTGAGGACGTTTTCCCATGCTGTGCATGTTTTGTGTTTCCTCTAAGTGTGCGCTGCCGCTCCGTGCCGAATCCTTCTGGTGATGGGGTGTGGTGGCGGCGCCCAGGCTCATTTCAAGGAGGAGAATCGGGGATAGCGGATCAGAGGGTTCGGGAGCGCAGCCGTGGGGATCGGTCCAGGCGAGTAGGCGGGAGTCAGGGTTCGACTGTCTCTCTTAAGAGCCGAGTGGGGCCAGGGGATCCATGTCGCTGGAGGGCCCAGTGAGCGAAATTCTCGAGTAATGGTTTTGGGGGAGATCCGTAAGTAGCAGAAACGAGATCGGCAATCAACGAAGAGAGTGCAATGTTCATTTGGCAATCAGTTTCATGCCACTGGTGACTAAGGTTCACAGCATGAGAGAATAGAAGCGGGCATCGAACAAGTCAGTTGCGTTGCGTTGGAAACTCACGGTGATATATTGTGCCAAGAATTGTCATCTGGGTTTTTGCGGCGAGTCCGAAGCACATTGTGTGCCGATGTTTTCGAGCAACGCCCGCAAGGCCAGCACAAAATTGAATTTGTTGCTTCCACTCCTCGAGGGGCTCTCGTGGATTTTGTCCACCTGGTAGAATATGTTGATAGTGGGATTGCTATGCTGACTTGATGCGTTCGTCCGCGTTCATTGGAAACGAGGTTCGAACTCACGCCGTGGGCTTCTGAAACGCTCGTGCTCGGTAAAAATGGCATGCTACAGCGCACGCGCTGGGCTGCAGGAGCGCCAGTGCTGCAGCGCACGCCATGCGCTGCTGGACCGCGCTCGCTCTTTGAACATGCACTGCTGGAGCGCACGGCCGCCCGCGCTTGGTAATGATGCAATTATGGAGCGCACGCCGCCTTGTGGCCACCTCTTGCGCTAGATGGGTCCGGCGAGGTTCCGCCACGTTGCCGCCCGTGGCCGCCTCGTGGCCGCCTCGTGGGCTGGGTGACGCTGGCGAGTTTCCGTCACGCTGCTGCCACGTGGCCGCCACGTGGCCGCTTCGCGCGTTGGGTCGGTTCAACAAGGTTTGGCCACGTGGCTGCCTCTGGCCGCCTCGTTGTCGTCTCGTTCGTTGGGTTGGTCCCGCGCGGTTTCGTCACGTTGCCACCTGTGGCCGCCACGTGGCCGCCTTGTGTGTGGGATTGGATCAGCGAGGATTCACAACGTTGTTGCCCGTTGTGGCTTCGTTGCCGCCTCTAGCATGCACCGCGTATATTGCAGCACATAGTTCACACCGCATAGCTTGCACGACATTTCTTACACAGCCACAGTGCAATAACGTCTTGTTTAGGGGCCCATGTTAACTAACCAAGTATGGCAGCATGCGCAGTGGTATTCGTCTAGAAGTTCACAAGTATGTATGTGTAGAAGTATGTGTACATGTGTATATATATATATATATATATACACAGCCGCGGATCATACTTTATAGTAATGTCATACTTGTACGTGGAATGCCGATATGCCGCGCATGTATGTATATGTATGTAAGTATAGATATACTGAGACACGTGTACCGAATCGAAGACGCCTACGGCGAGTCACCGCCGCCCCCTGCCTTTTTGGAAGCGCCTATGTGGCCGAACGTTGAGGCCAGACCTGCCAAGTCATCGAATCGGTTTGGAAAGCCTTCGGGGAACACGTGGGCATCTTGAAGGTCATCTTGGCCGTCTTGGAGGCCTCTTGGGCGATCTTTCGGCGATCTTTGGGGGCTCGTGGGCCGTCTCGGGCTGTCGGAAGGCCGACAAGAAGGAAATGTCAAAATTCGTCAAATACCTCAGGACAATCCATGTTTTTGGCGTCCTCTGGCCTTCCTGGAGGCCGTCTTGGGGGCCTCTTGGGCCGTCTTGGGCCAGCTTCGAACCAATTTCGGCAATCTTGGTGGGTTCCTGGCACGTCTGACGCCGTCGGGAGCCGTCTTGGGGGCCTTTTCTGGGCCAACGGGGGACCCTCTTGGGGCGCTTCGGGGCCGTCTTGGAGGCCTTCTTGGGCGTCTTGGAGGCCATCTTGGGCGTGTTGGAGGCCTCTTGGGCCGTCTTGGGGCCCTCTTGGGGCCATCTTGGAGGCCACTTGGGCCGTCATGGGGCTCTCTTGGGCGCCTCTTGGGCGATCTTGGGGGCCTCTTGGGCCGTCTTGAGCCGTCGGAATGCCGAGAAGAAGCAAATTCCAAAATCCTTCAAAAACCTAAGGAAAAGCAATGATTTTGGCCTCTTCGGGCCCTCCTGGGGGACCTCTTGGAGGCCTCTTGGGCCGTCTGGGAGGCCTCTGGGGGGCCTCTTGGGCCGTCTTGGGCCGTCTTGGACCATCTTGGGCCGTCTTGGAGGCCGTCTTGGACCATCTTGGGTGGACTTGGAGGCCATCTTGGGCCATCTTCGCGATTGTTTGAGGATGTCCCGAGCGAAACGGCCGTTTCAGGGAGGATTGTTCGTGGAGTTTGCGGTCCTGGAAGAGCTTCCCGGGACCCCGGCGGGACGGACCGAAACCCCAGGGGGAGTTCTTTTGGAAAAAGAACCAAAACCGAGAGGTCTAGCACGCCAGGCACACCTGCGAGGAATCGACAGGGGGCGGCGGATTCGAATGTCCCTCGGCCCATCCCGCCACCGTGCCTGGTTGTGGGTATGAAGCCTGTTGGATGATCGTTGGGATCTCGTGGGGGGACTGTCGGTGGCCTCTTGGGGGCAGTTCGGACGCCTCTTGAGGGCTTTTGGGGGGCTCTTTGGGCCTCTTGGGGGCCTCGTGGGGCCTCCTGGGCGCCTCTTGGGCCTCTTGGGGCCTCCTGGGGGCCACTTGTGCCGGAGGGCTCGGATGTTCAGGTCGTGTGCCCTCTCTCGGGCCCCTGTTTGGGCCGTGTTTGGGTCCTCTTTGTCTGTCTCGGGCGCCTCTTGGGCCGTCTTGGGGCGCTGTTAGGCAGTCTTGTAGCCCGGTTGGAGGCCTTTTGGGCCGCCTTGGGGTGGTCTTGGAGCGTCGGAAACAGAAAAAGCGAGACCGCCAAGCTCCTTCAACAATTTTCGGATACTTAATGACTGTTCCCTTTGGGGGCCCTCTTGGGAGGCCTCTTGGAGGCCTCATAGGGCGCCTTGGAGGCCTCTTGGCCATCTTGAAGCCGTCTTGGGCGCTTGGGGACGATCTTTCGGCGATTCGGGGCCCCCTTGGATCGTCGTGGTGGCCTCGTGAGGCCCTCTTGGCCTGTCTTGGGGCATATTTGGGCCCGAAAATACATGCGACAAGATGCGCCAGAGCCCAGAGCGCACGCAAGAAGCACCAGTAGAGCTGAGAGTTTGGTGCTTTGGGTCCTTAAAGACTCCTTAGGATTGGGGACTGAGGCTCCAGGGATTAGGCAAAGGACTTGAGGGCACGCCCACTCCGTGCCCAGAGGTACGGTGGCGGACGTACAGGCCCGCGCGAGTGTCCCCTGCGAGTTCGGCTCAAGTGCTATTGGCAGAGGGCTCCTGTGCCAGCCTCGCATTTGGCATGGCCACTGAGTGCACTCACGCGTCACAACCGCACCAAAAGCACGCGCTCAGTGATCTGCACCTCTTGGAGGCCCACGAGGTCGTTGGACTTCTGCGTGATGGCCATGTTACACCAAACGAGCTGATTGCTATCGTGGAGGAACGCGTGGCTGCCACAGACGACAAAGTCCACGCAACTCCAATATTATGCGTCGAGCGAGCCCGTGCCGCCGCCGCTGCGATGGCGCACCCTGCTGCTCCCCCGCGTGGTTACCTCTACGGCCTGCCGATCTTGGTGAAGGATTCCATGGCTGTCGCAGGTGTACGCTTCGTAGAAGGCTCCCCCATCCACGTCGACCGCATCGCAGATGACAGTAGCAGTCTGGTCCTGCAGCTCGAGTCGCGCGGTGCCATCGTGGTGGGCAAGACGAACGTGCCCGAATTCTGCGCAGGCTCTCATTCCTTCAACCCGGTGTTCCCCACAACGGCGTCGCCATGGGACACCCGCACAACGGCTGGCGGCAGCAGCGGTGGATCTGCAGCCGCAGTGGCAAGCTGCCAGTGTTGGCTAGCAACGGGATCCGACCTCGGCGGGTCCTTGCGCACTCCTGCCGCCTTCTGTGGCATCGTGGCCTTTCGTGTTTCACCTGGGCGAGTGCCTCGTGGTGACCCGCCATCAGGGCCACTTCAGGGGATGCACGGCATCCAGGGGCCAATGGCACGGTCCGTTCGAGATGTCGGACTCTTTCTTGATGCCATGGAGGGCAATGTTGGATGGGATTTTGAGCCCCCAGCCTTGGAGGCAAACGAGTCTTGGGAGGCAATTGCCGTTCGCGGTGCAAGTCCCAGCGGCGTGAGTCGAAGGCGGATTTGCTTCTCCACGTTGGGCTTTGATGTATCGGCCAATGTCGAGGCATTGTGCCGCAGTGCTGCCGCAGCTCTTGCTCGCAGTGGGGCGGGTGATTCTGACGTGGTTGAGCTGGAGGCCGGCGCGCTAGACTTCGAGATGGCTGAACGCATCTTCCATGTACTCCGAGCTGAGAAGTTTGCGCGAGAGTTTGAGGTGATGGGCTAGTTTTCCACCACCACCACCATAAGTTGGAGGGGGGGGGGGTCCTCCTCCTCCTCCTCCTCCTCCTCCTCCTCCAACTTATGGTGGTGGTGGTCGAAAACAGGCCCATCATGAGGAGGTGCTGGGAGACCCGAAGACAGCCGAGCTAGTAAAGCCTGAGATTCAGTGGAATGCAGCTGCTGGCCGGGTCCTTGAGGCGGAGAGTATGGCAGCCCGAGCGCGTGCAGACCTTGCGGTGCTGAGTGCCCAGGTTGCAGCATTGTTTGAACGCGTGGACATATTGTGCACACCGGCAACTTTGGATGGAGCTTTCGAAGCTACTGTTCGGTATCCAACAGAGCAGGTCGGGCAGATATTCACTAATTACTTAGGCTGGATGATGCCAGCCTGCATTGTGACTATGATGCTTTGCCCTGCGCTAGTGTTGCCGTGCGGATTCCTCCAGGACGGCCGTCCTGTGGGATTGCAGCTTGTTGGGAGACCAGGGGACGATGCTTCCGTTCTTGAGGCTGCTGCCGCCCTTGAAAGTTTGCTACAGCTGCCAAAGAGCTGTCCATCTCCACGGCAAGGTTCGGTACCATTGCACACAGTTGGCCCTAAAACCGCGGAGCAAGCTGCTTCCCATCATGATGGTGAAGTTGACCGCTTCGTAGCAAGGTATTCTGGCACGGTTTGAAAACATGGACAAACACATCTCCGTCTCAAGATGCAGGTCATTTGAGAATGTGCGCACCCTCGCGATGTCTTAGAAAGGTCACCCAGCGACTCCCACACGGCGTGCCATGCCACATCACGCGTCGGAGTATGGTGTTTTTTGGCAGGTAGCGTGCAAGAGTTGAGGAGGGTGAGAAGGCAATCTGATACAACATGAGAACAGGGATAGTCGTGAAAAGTGAGGTGTGGGCTGGAATGCTGCCCTCCTGTCCCGACCAAGGAGCACAAGATCACACTGGCCTAGCCATCCCATCTCCCAGACCCCCCCCCTCACTCAGGAGAAGAATGCGCATGCAGGCGCACATCGGAAATTCGCAACTTGTTTAGCGTTGTTGCTGTCACCCTGGCTTATGTCAGCCGCCCCCCCCGCTGCCCGCCGCTGTCGATTTGGCCCTAGAAGGCGGGGGGGGGGGGGGGCACCGCCGTCATTTCCCCACCAACGGCCTGGCAGATCCTGCCTGCTCTGGCTCGAGCAGCCAATTTGGGCAAGTTTGTCCCCTAGCGCCTCACATCTCCACCTCTCCCCTGCTGCTGCTGCTGCTGCTGCTGCTGCTGCTGCTGCTGCTGCTGCTGCTGCTGCTGCTCCTCACCCCTCTCTTCCTAATCCTCACATGGTGGAATCTGCCCTGGTGCCCCCTCCCGCGCCACTGGCAGCCTGTGATGAGGAACGTGGCGCGAGCGTCTCGGTCGGACATCGCCAACAGCCGACGTCGGCGAGGCCCGCGCTGGGTGCTGAGGTGGCGTCAGAAGCGTTGGCCAGAGATGCGCAGAGCTCGCTCTGAGAAAGCGGCACTCAGGGCGGCGGCGGGAAGGCGGACGCGGGCGCTGGCCCAGAGCCGGCCAAGGCTGGCGGCAAGGATCGGTGGAACATCAAAGGGGGGGGTGGGGCTCCAGGGTGCTACTGTCCCCCTTCCCCCCCCCCTTCCTCCTTCCTCTCCCTTCCCCTCTATCCCCACCCCGCCCTTCCCCCCGTCAGGTTCCGTCCCCTCTCCTCTCTCTTCCTCCACCTGCCTTCTCTCCCGTCTTCCCGCCTCTTCCCACCCCCCTCCTCCGCAGACCCCGGCACCAGTGCCATTGGGTCTCCTTTCCAGGGAAACATGCGGTTGGCAGCCCGATCGTCACCCTGTCTGTGCTTGTCCGAGGGTTGTGGGCAACCGCGATGTTCGGCAGGGGCGGGCAGGGGAGAGACTCTTGCTCCTCGTCGCCCGTTTTGGCCCTCCCACTCCCCCCACGGCCCAGGTCCCCCTCCCGGGCGAGCGTGGGGCAGGGCTGGTCTCGAGTGGGAGTGGTGCCCCATGGAGGCGAACTGAGGAGGCACGCAGACGGGGAACCGTCGTCTGATGGCAGTGCGGCCGCCGCTTCGGAATTGTCAGAGCGCGCGGCTCTCTTCGGTGCATGCTGCCTGCTGCTCACAGGTCTGTGCCAGGGTGGGTCCTATGGCTGCTGTGTGCCAACGTGCACGTTTGCCCCCGGGTCGGCGTGCAGCGCGTTCTCGTCAGTGTCCGGTCTCTGGCACGCCCAGGGGCTGCGCAGGAAACGAGTCTCGCGCAGCCATCTTTTTTGTTTGTCAGTTCGCCGGTGTGGCCGATGGGCTTTGGCTCCTCCGTCGCGGTCAGCGGTGTCCGCGCAATCGGGGTGCCACACTTCGTGCTTCTATGTGTCTTGTTTTCGCTTGGGTGTCCTGGAGTTCATCAGGGAGCGGTTCGTGCCGATCCTCTGCAGGCCCCTCCCCCTTCCTCCCGAGATGCGCGGTGGCAGCCGAGCGGCAATGGCCCCAGGCGGCACGCGCTACAGTGGCCGCTGAGCCCCCTCTCTTGGTCGAGACCCATCATAGTGCACGTCCCCAACCTCGCGCCGTGGGCCATCCTGGATCGCGCTTGGGCTCGTGCTGGGATGTTAGCGGTCACTTGATCACTCGAGCAGGCAGAGATGAGTTGCGGCTTCGGGTAAGGTCCCTAGTGGTGCGTAAGAGCGTCAGAAGCTCGCTCACCAGCGGGTTATATAAGTTTGGCGTGCTGGGCTTCACTTTACGTGACGGTGCCACGCCCAAGCAGCGAGTTGCAACTGGTGACAAACGACGTGTGGCTTGTGCGTTTTCAGGTCTACTGTTGTCCATCGTCGGAGCCCGTTGCGAACGGGCCGTGGGCTTCGTGCAGACCGGTGGCATCGCGTTGTTGTTACGGTCCTCAGCGATGCGCGCTGGAGCCATCTGCAGCCCCCGCCCCATCTATAAACGTTGCGACGAGAACGTGAGAGTGGGACGGGAACGACAGGGAAGACAAGGAGCAGCCTTCGGCAAGAAAGCCAAGAACGCCAAGCAAAACAAGTCTATTCCATAGCGCCGGGCCTGAATACGCCAAAAAGGTGACCTTGCAAACGCTAAACAAACGCAGCGTTTCTTTGGCGCTGTCAGCTTGTCAAGGGCTCACAGTACAAACGCAGACAGCGCCCAGGGCGCTTCTTAGGTTAACCAGAATTATTGGGTGCGCACTTGAGTCCAGCTCAGTGTCGAGGTCGACCGCACACGTGTCCCTGTGTTCTATGACGCCCACGAGAACGCGACGGTACCTGAGCGTCGCGGGCTGGGCCAGCAATGCACACTTCTCTGGTGCTGCCGCGTGCGAGCGCGAGCTGATTTACATTTACCACCTACAGCTTTGAATCGGTGGCGAGCGAGGGGGGGAAGCGAGAAGGAGAAGGCCTTTTCAGAAGGCTCGGAAGTCCCACGGCCTTCTGTGAAACGTTCTAAGCGTTCCCCGAAGACCCACACATTTTTTCAGAAGGCGCGAGGGCTTCTGAGAAGTCCGGCCGCCTTCTGAGAAGGCCTTCTCCTTCTCATGTCCCCTCGCTCGCTCTCCTTCTCATTTCCCCGGCAGTTCCCTCCACCGCTCCCCGGGAGCCGCGGGCAGCCCCAGGAGCAGTGCCAGGGGAGGAGGGGCTCTCGGGTGCGATGCGTCGGCCCCAGAGCGCCCACTGCTCGCCGAAGGGGCCTCTGATGACCCACCCCGCCCTGCAAGGTGCGAATTCGCTATCGAGGGCCCACCGCCGCTCTATCGGCAATGTTCGCCCCCGCAGAGGGTTCCTCCCCTCGGCCTCTCCCCCACCTCGCGCTTGCCCCCAGGGAGGGAGGGCGAGAGGGAACGCGGCAGCAGTTTTTCGTGCCCCCCGCATTTTCATTGTATTCATGGCTCCTCGCTGCAGCTGCGCCTTGTCACTCTCTGGCCCCGCTGGGAGAGTCCAGGCAGGATGGGGTGTCATCGTCCAGGGTCCCTTCTCGTTACTCGCGTCTCCGTGTTTTCCGCTCCCCTTTCGCTGCCCATTTGCTGGCGCGAGGAGTTGCTCAGCCGAGCAAGATTTTGAAACGCACATGTTTCGTTTGTTGTCTGCGCATTGTTCGCGTGCACGGCGTGTTTCAGATTGTCCCTACAGCCCTCCCCGATGCTATGTCCTTGCAGCCCCGCGTCATCTTAGTAAGAAGTTGATGAGTTTACTCTTCTATTAGCCTTGGCAACAAGCCAAAAGCATTGGTGTACAGCTACCCGGAATCGTGCATCCGGCCAGCAGCGGGGCCTGCGCTGCAGTTTCTCATTGAATTGCGCGTGCTTTGCAATTCTGGCCTTCAACCTGGACCAGGCGTCCCTGCTTACGCATGTGGACTGGAAATCATGTCATTCATAAGAGGCCTATGCGTATAACGTTGAAAGGCAGACAACGCTTGTACGTTGAGCCTAAGTGTGCACGTTGCTACATGAGCAATCGAATGATTACGGCGCGCCGGATTCTGCTTTGCCTGCCCCTCCTCCCTCCTCTTCCTCCTGTGTCTCGTCCACTGGGTGGCGAAGGATGTCTGTTTAAGGTGCACGTTTGCACTGCAGCCTCGGGTGAGAGTACAGGGAATCAGGTCGTCATGGATCATTGGCTGAGCAACCTCGCAAACTGATTGCGACCCCCAGTCAGCCCCGTCTGATGCGGCCGCTGTTAGGGTGAGACCGCTGGGGGGCGCTTTGCTCGGAACAGCGTCAGCTTTTCTGGACACGCTGGTTCATCCCTCAGTGCTTCAATAAGGCCGACTGATCGCCCATACGAAGGGGGCGGCAGCGGGTTGTGTATGAGAGACATACCGTTTCGGAGAGCGGAGGCTCGAGGGTGAGAACCAAGTGACCGCAACCTTGACATCGATTTCGGCTTCGTTTCGTGTCTTGCGTGCGATCGAGGCGAAACTGCGCGAGGGCGATGATGCGCCGGCCAAACAGAGGCCCAATTCGGGCAACATATAATCTTCCCGTCTCGCGAATGCGCGCGGGGCTGCTCAGTGGTTGTCCAGTGTCTGTCCCATGGTTGTTCCGTTTGTTGTACCGTTGGTTGTTCCGTTGTTGTCCAGTGTGGTGTGGTTCTCCCGATGGTTGAACATACAAGTTCCCCACCCCCTGGACCTCCTTCTATTTCTCATGCGAAGCATGGTCCATAAGGTAGAAGCAGGTGTATTTTCCCAGTCAGCACCCCAGGTGTTTTTAAGGATGTATTCCCAGGAACACATTGTAGTCTCGATATTTGATCGAAGACTTACCTATACGCATCACGCCTCTGGTTGACCGCCTGCTCCTTTCTTCCCGGCTCTGCCAGGAGAAGGCGGCGTCCAGTAAAAAGCCAGCGGCAAAGTCCGGCAAAAAGCCAGCGGCAAAGACGGGTAAAAAGACAGCGTCGAAGACGGGCAACAAGCCAGCGGCAAAGACAGGCGCCGGGTTTGCTGCCCCCGCAGCCGCCTGTCTCAGCTGCCTGTCTCGTGCCTGCGATCCAACGTGTGCCCCGCAGCCGCCTGTCTCAGCTGCCTGTCTCGTGCCTGCGATCCAACGTGTGCCCACGGCTTTGTCGACTTGCTCCGATCCAGCTTTGCACCAGTCGGATCGGTTATGTCTCTCCCTCTTACAGGACCCCCGTTCATGCTCACGCTGGGGTTCGGCAAGATGTTGTGCATTGTGCAACACGTTTGGCCCTGGTAAGCATTTATTGTTCACACGGAGCACCTCGTGCTGTTTCGCCTAAGTTCTGAATCCCTCGGCCAAGGCGCTGGAGCTGACATGCGCCTCGGCCCTGCAAGTGCCAGCTTGCGAAAGTTGAGAACGGAGAAGCAGACGATGACCACGACTGCTCCACAGTGTCCCTTTTTTTCAGAGGGGGGACCAGATTGGTTTCGCGCAAGCTGTGACTTTCGATGCACTGCAGTCTCCTTGTGGCCGTTCAGCGGTATCGAGGCAGACTTATGCCCAGTCGATATTCCTTTTTCTTTATTTCTGCAATATTGGGCCCTCCCCCCCCAATCGGGATCACCGGATCCCTGGCCCTGGGGGCCCCCTGGACGCCCTTGCAGAAGGTTCCCCGGGCTTTTGGGAGCCCCTGGGGGCCCCTGCTGGGCCCAGGAAGCGGACCCAGATCGGTCAGATGGGCGGCCACACAGCCCCCCAAGGCCCCAAGAGATCCCCGACACCTCCCAGACGCCCGAAGACGACCCAAAGAGCACCCCCAACAAGCTTTCGAAATGTAGAAAAGCAGTGATCCCCAATGGTCTTTGAATGATTTTGGGAATGCTCTGTTCTTCGGTCTTCCAGGCATCCGAGATCGCTCAAGAGGCCCGACAATCATACCGAAAGTATCCGAAAGGGCTTCCAGAGCAGCCCATGAGACCCCCCAAACAGCCCACTAGGGCCCCGGGGTGGCCGAAGAGGACCCCATGAGGGCCCAAGATGGCCCCAAAACGCCCCCCGAAGCATTCCAAAGCGTGACCCTCTCGTTCTGGGAGAACGCAGTTTGAATCAGGGTGGCCCGAGGAAGACCCCAGAGGCCCCACTAAAGCGCCCAGGAGGCTTCCAGAAGGCCCCAAAAAGCAATGTAAAACTTTCGCAAGACCCACAAGAGGCTCTCCAAAGAGGAGCCCCCTCAAGAAGGGCAGAGGAGGATGGGGAAGGATTCGCAGGGGAAGGCGAGAATGAGGAATATGAAGAGGAAGCATGAGGGAAGGATAACGAATGGCATAATTGTGGCGACGAGGTCGGACAGTGCAACGAGGAGGTATCGCTATTGTTTCTGCTTTACCTTCCTGCCAGTCCGCCGCGACTTCTGCCTGTACGACAAACTTCAAGGACCACAGTGCATGGCGCGAAGCGCCAACGCAATCTTGTATGTATGTAAGTATATATATATACATATATATATATGTATACATTCAGAGTTGTTTCGCTAACGTGCATCGGGCTCTCGAGTCTCGCTGGATCGTATGTCTCTTTAATAAATCTGCACAAGCCCGACGGTGGCCTTGATTATTCAACACGTCTCTGAGCTTTATCACCGCACTGCTTCACGATTGAAGTGTTTGGCTATGGCTGTTTTCGCGACCTGTGCTTGGGACGCCTGATGGATTCCCGAGGTGGTGCCGTTGTGCCACCCGCTGCGCGCACCTGTCTTACGATCCTCGCGGTGTAACACCGCAGCGAACGCCCAAGCCGATGCGAAAGCACATGCAAGCGACACCGTGAACACGAGAACGAAAGCCAGGCCCGACACTTTCAGCACTCGCGCACGGGTCCAGACCTCCTCGCCCCGCCCCGCCCCGTCCCGCAGGGCCCGGTCCCGTCGCCCCCAGCGGGCCCGTGGCGCGACCCCAGGCGGTTCCAAGGCGGGTGTCGGAGGTGTCGGAGGTGCTGGAGGAGGAGGGCGGGGGGCCACCGTGCAAGCGGAACAAAATCACGATCTGGGTGAGCTGGCCAAACGGGCGGCACATCACGGCGCACCCGCGGCTGCAGCCGAAGCGGCCTCCGTCGCCCCCGCTGGGCCCTTGGCGCGCCCCCAGGCGGCGCCAAGGCGGGTGCTGGAGGTGCCGGAGGTGTTGGAGGTGTTGGAGGCGAAGAAAAGGCTCCTCTGCGCTGGGCGTGCCTGCTTGAGGTGGCCATGCGCAGTCGACGTTCCCCCCCTGGTGATTGATTGTTGGCGTGCTGGGAGCTCTCTTTCAGACAGAGAGAGGGGGAGAGAGAAAGACAGGAGAGAGAGAGAGAGAAAGAAGGGAGGTGGAAGGACGGATTGGTTCGGTCTCCACCCCGGCCCATTGGCGTTTGTCGCGTCGTCAGGGCCCCCTCTTGTCCTCCTCCCCCTCCTCCCCCAGCTTCCCCTGCCTCCTCCTCCTCCTTCTCCTCCATGTCCTCCTCCTCCTCCTCCTCCTCCTCCTCCTCCTCCTCCTCTTCATCATCATCATCATCATCATCGTCCCCATCTTCGTCCGTGTCCGTGCATAGCCACATAGGCTCTAGGCTGAAAGAAGGCGTGTGTTCGGCACGTGTGGCTGTGCTAGATCCTGACGTGACGAGTTTCCAACAGCGAGAATCCTCCCAGCATGTGCCTGGCATCTGGTGGGCCATAGTTGCCGACCTTGTTGGTGTGCTGCGTCGCCTGCACAGAAAAAAAGCTTGCCTGAGGAAAATGCTCGCTCGCGTAAGCTAGCACAGCAAATTACCTAGCCCATGAGATGAAGGTGGGGATGCAGTTGTTCATGAGGGACCTCCGTTGCTGCAGTTGATCCAAGTCAGGGTTCAGTTCGAGCTTGAGATCCGACGTTGCAAACAAAGCTGCAACATCGCGAAACTCACGACCTGAACCACAGCCCCTATCTCTCTGCTGCAATTGTCGAGTATGGTCGATTTGTGAGTGTCTCGGGACCGAAACCGCGCGAAAACGCCAGCTGTGAACGAAACGCAACGCCCAGATCTCAGGGCCCCCTCTCCCACTCCTCCGCTTCCTTGCAAGGCAAGGGGCGCGAGCCCTCCTCCTGCGTCCCTGGCTTTCGGGTCCGAGCCCGGCCCTTCGGCGGCCCTTCGGGACGATCCGGGCACCACCAGGACGCCCTCGGCGAGGCGCAGCTGCTGGAGAGCATCCCGAGGCTGGGAGGCTGGGAGCCGACGAAAACTTCAGAACATCTCAAACATCTCCTCCCTCCCGCTTCTCCGCCTCCTTCCAGGGTAATGAGTGCAGAGCCCTCCTCACGCGCCCCTCCTTCAACATTTTAGCACCTAGGCTCTCCGGCTGGTCGGCCTCATTTCGAGAGGCGCGCGCGTGTTCCGTAGCGTTTTGTCCGCAGCACGCTCGGTTGTTCGCTTGTTCGTTCTACCAGCGTCAGGGGCGTAAGCGGGTCCCTGGGGGAGAGGCCCCCCGACTCCCTCGCGTGGTGGAAAAATCACGGCGGACGGTTTTTAACTATTCGTCGGCCGTTTGGGGCTCTCGTTGGGCCTGGGGACCTGGATCGAGATGTCTGGGGATGCACGTTGTGAAACAATCATGGCGTTGGGGGGCTCATTGGGCGCAAGCTGGCTGTCCGATGCACCTGCTTCGCGGCACCTGGCCAGAAGCCCCCCCCTCGAGTCAGGGAAGGAGCAGATGTCGACTCCGCTGCCCGCCACTCGTCGCCGCGGCCGGATCCGCTTCGAGACCTCGGCCAGACCGCAGTCGCAGCTCGGGAGAGGCCCCCCCGGAGAGCAGCGTCGGCGGCGCCTCTGCGCTCCGCCAGGTGGCGCGGCGGGAGCGGAGCCCGAGGGGAGGCCGGGCGAGGGCGTCGCACGGGGAGCCTCGTGCTCCCCGCGGGCCGAGGCCTGCCCCCGTCGACGCCGGTGGGGGCCTCTCGCGCAGGGGGCCGCCCACGCGCTCCGTCCCGCTGCCGTGGCCGCCGCCCCGGCCCCGCGCGGCCAGGCTGGGCCGCCTCCCGAGAAGCCGACCTGGCAGGACCTGGCGGTGGGCTGGCAACCCAGAGATCCAACGCTGTGAAAAAGTCAAGACGGAGGTGTTTCGCACATTTCGGCCCCCAGGAGCCCTCGCCGGGCCTCGGGGCCGTCAAAAAACGACTTAGGATCAAAAACCGGCCCCGGGGAAAGGGTCGGGACTTCCGGGGACGCCGTCGTGAAAAAATCAGGACGCCGCATGTATGGGGGGGGGGATGGGGGGCTGGCAACTCGGTGGCGAAATCCGAATTCCCCACATCCTGCCCTCGAAATCAAACGCAAGTTTTTGTTCCCACGACGTGGCGGCGCTCCAGGACATCAGGGTTTCAAGGTTCGCGGCGGAGCTGACGACTGCAATCACAAACATCTGACCCCGTGGGCCGCGTTTCGCGCGTCGACCAACATTTAAAACTTGCGTTTCATTTCGAGGAGGGTTGTACCCTCGCCAGTCATCGATTCGGGCAAGTCAGTGGGCGGCGGGGGTAGGCCGCCCATCGATCCAGGAAAGTCTATCCTTGGTGGGGTTGGGATCGCATGGCGCCACCTAGTCACGTCACGATTCGCGTCGGCGCCGTCGGGGATTGCCTCTTGGCATCGCTCGGGTGTGTGCATGTTCCCTCGGCGAGAACCATCGAGGAACAGACTGGAGAATCTGGCAAAGATCACACACGAAACCGAAAAATGCATGGGAATGGACGTCCGAGCGATGGCAAGGCCTAGGAATGGTTAGTTCCTAGGCAGCGCCGGCGCGACTCGTGACATGACCAGGGTGGTAAGGGGGGCGGGGCTGGTACCGGTCGTCAAGGCGAATTTCAGACAATCGTTCCAGCAGCGGCCCAGGGAGTGGCGGTATCTGTATTTTTCGGAGGGGCGTCGAGTGGAGGGGGGGGTCAAGCCAACGATGAGAGTTGGGCGGCGTCGTCGGCTTCGCTCCTGTGCTGAGCCGGGCGTGGCAAAGACAGGACCAACGACAGGCTTGGCTTGGCGTGTGCACAGCCCCCACTGGGCAAGTCAAGTCATGGAGCCCGTTGTTCTCCACATCCTCGCCATCATTATAATGTTCTTCATGTGTCCTCGCATTCTCCTCGTCATCTTTCCTCTTCCTGCACCTCCGCAACCTCCCTCCTACTGATTACTGCTTCTCTCTCCCCCCCTGTCCTCGTGCTCATCCTCCTTCTCCTCCTTGCCTCCTCCTTCACCTCCTTCCCGCGCCTCGTGATCCCTCCCTTCCGCTCACCTCTGCACGTTCCTCCTAATCTTCCTCCGCCAGTCTCCCTTCCTTCTTCCTCCTCTATGCTCATTTCCTCTCTCCTCCCTCCTGCCTCCATCCCCATCCCTCCTCCGCCACATCGCCTGTGGACATGCACAGTGGCCCAATGACACCGCGCAGACTCCGACCAGAGAACATGCACCGAGGCAATGCACTGGAAGGAGCAAGGGCCAGCTCTGGCGGCTGCTTGGACGCCGGCAGGAAGCAGTGACCGGCCGCGTGCTGGGGGCCGCACAGCCGGTGTGGGGGCCACGCCGCGTGGTGAGCCCGTGGGGAGCCGGGGTCGCTGCACGGTCGTCGGGGCTCGGGCCGTTCTCCGAGGACCCCCCGGGGCGACCGGGGCCTGCGGGGCCCCCCAAAACACCGCGCGGCGACGGACCGCGCGGTGAGACCGCGGGGGGGTCCGAGGTCACCGCGCGGTCCGTCACCGCGCGGTTCGGTGTTTTGGGGGGCCCGAAGTCTGGTGCCCTCGAAGCCGTGGCGACCCCACCAGACGGTCAGTCGCCCCCCAGTGTGCTCGAGGAGTCCTCGGAGAGCCACCCAGGAGTCAGCAGACGGTCCACTGCGCACCCGGAGCCACGTTTCGCCCTCTGGAGGGCGTGGCCACCAGACCGCTTGGGGACCCCCGAAGTGCTCCCTTGCTCCTCCGCTTCGCGGGCTCCTCGTCGCGCGATGGCTACAGCGCATCGTTATCCTCTTGTGCCTCCGTGCCTTGTATCTCCTCTGCAGGGTCTCCTTCGTCATCCTTCTTTCGTATAAGTGGCTCCTCCCTGTCGCGCCCCGAGGCTGGCTGGTAGGGCGGGCCGGGCGTTTCGCCTGAGCTTTCCTCACCATGTATGATCATGAAACCAGGCAGCAGGGTGGTAGTTTCCAACATGTGGTTCTCGCCTTAGCGCCGCGCACATTCGTTCTAAGAGTGTTTCAGATTTTCACGGATGGGTAGGGGGTGGTTTTGACCATGTGTTTTTTGCTTTAGCGCCGCACGCATTCGACCTGAAAGTTGGCAAGACTTTCGCGGATGGCGGGCGGGCCGTTTTTTCAAAATTTGGTTCCCGCCCTCTCGCCGCGCACATTCGTCTTAATAGTTTGCAGGGTTACTTTCAAAATGTGGATCTCGCTGTAGCGCCGCGCACATTCGTCTTTATCGTTGACAAGAGTTCCAAGACATGCTCTGGCAAGCGTACCAGAAACTGTGTGTTTGGCACAACTTACAGTTGCAAGGTCGCGACAGTTAGGTCGAATCGCGGTGCTGACGTCCAAGAAGTAATGATCTGGCTCGATTCAGGATCCTGAGGTCGCAGCAGTCATGCTGATCCGCGGCGTGGAAGTCCCAGGAATGGTGGCTTAGTGCGGTTGGCGATCTTCAGACGGTTCTCTTCCACCGGGGCTCTCCCCGCAGTGAACATCAATCGCTATAGGAACACATGCAGAGGGAACTTCCAGGGAGGGTTTATTGCAACATCGTTCATGAGTCTTGGGTTGACGCTGGTCCTCGTTGTCGTTGTCGTCTCACCGACCCCTTCGACGGAGAGAATGGCATCCCCAACAGCGTTGCGAGGCTCAGCGTTGCGACGCGGGTATACCACCTCATCAAGGACGAGGACATGCCGATGACGTACCAGAAGCAAGTGACCGCCGTTGCTGCCGCCCGCCACGCTCTGAAGCTGCCCGCCGACTTCTCGGGCGGAGCGGGCGTGCCGTAGCTCGGCCTTTCGACGGACTCGCCCCCCTCAGGCGACGTTCGCTCCTCCTCCTCCTCCTCCTGCTCCTCCACCTCCTCCTCCTCCTCCTCCTCCTCCTCCTCCTCCTCCTCCTCCTCCTCCTCCTCCTCCTTTCGCTTCTGATCTCTCCTCGCCCATTATTGCGAATTATCATTAGCATCGTCATCATCCTGATTCGTTGTCTCTTCATTGTCCTCTCCATTTCTCCTGATGCCTCCTTTTTTTTCCTGCTCATACTCGTCCTCATCCTGTCATTTCTCTCTCCTCCACCGTTCTTCCTCGTTTTCCCTGCCTCCCCCAAAGAGGGCGGCGAGTCTGGACAGCATCCCTCGATGTCGGGTGACGGTGGAAATCCAATTCAGCCTTGTGTGCCATCATGTAGGGGAGCGGAAGAACATGATGGGCAGAGTTGGAGTGGAGGGAGGTGGCGCGATGCCCGCGCGGTGCCCACGGGGAACCCGTCAGGCTCCAACGGGTGAGAGACCCCGAGCCAGTCTTCGTCCGGGCGCTCGGTTGGTGGGGCGACGCGAGAAACGAGGTGAGGGAGGCGAGATCATCTGGAGGGCATCGTACCCTCCATTACGGCCCCCGCTGCCCCCCCCCCCATCGGCCTCCTGCACAGGACGCGATGGCACAGAGCCGGTGCGGCTGGGACAAGCGACTGAAGCTGTTGCGGATGAAGGATCCTAGGCAGGGCGAAACACCACAGATCCACCCCCGTCATCCTTGACCCGACAATTCCTGGCAGCCGACATGTAGCTAAAGCAAATCACGGCTGGCGTGTCAGCCTCGTTTCGGGCCCCAGGATCCTCACGGATCGATGTGGCCTGAAGAGATACGCGCGAAGACGGGGTCGGGAGATTCTGTCGCGGCTTCCTCGAACGATTCCCCCCTTCGCCGTTCTCCCGTCCACGCTCCAGTCATCCTTCCCTCTTGCGCTTGAGCGGAGAACGGATCTTCCCCTGATCAAAGCGGACACGAGGGAGGGGGAGGGCCAAGGTGACAGAGAGGCAGGGGGCCGCAGGTGGAGGAGGCCTCGGGATCGCTGAGCCGAGACAGCAGAGCTTGAAATTACGATGCTGGGACCCCGAGGATTCGTCTGTCAGACGTGGCCCGCCCCCCCTACCGATGCTGTGCCTCATCGCTCTAAGTCGTTCGTCCTCCCAGTGCACGGCCCTGGGCGATCCTTGAGTCTTGGGGGTCAGCTATTCCTGTTTGGCACAGAGTATCGTGCAGAAGGCGAAAACCATGTTCCAGGGAGGCGGCACGCAGCAGCATTTTCCCGCATACGGCATCTTTTTGGTTCAGGGATTCGTAGGTCGTAGGAGTTGATGCCGCCCGTGTCGAGAGTAACCAGACATCGAGCACACTCCCAATAGATGCCTCCCTAGAGCCTGGAATCTCTGATCTTGCTCTTGCAGGAGCATCCAACAGCCTCCGCGTCGGCTCGAAGCCACAGGACCCGCGGACGCAGATCTCAGTGCGAGGCTGGTCTGGAATGGCACAGGGCAGGCCAAGGCGGAAGCTCGCTCTCCTGAAGCCGATCAGGAGGAGGAGGAGGAGGAGGAGGAGGAGGAGGAGGAGGAGGAGGAGGAGCGGGAGGGAGGAGGAGGAGGAGGAGGAGGAGGAGAGAGGAGGAGGAGGAGGAGGAGGAGGAGGAGAGGAGAGGAGGAGGAGGAGGAGAGAGGAGGAGGAGGGGGAGGAGGAGGAGGAGGAGGAGGAGGAGGAGGAGGAGGAGGAGGAGCAGCGCCACCAGAGCGGCCCCGGTGCCCCTGCCCCGCGCACCGGCACCTGGCCACCCGAGGGCTCCCACTACTCCGCCGCCACCGCGGTGGCCAGGCCCACCCGCCTCCCCCCGTTCGGCTGTCCGAAGATGGGGCCCTGAAGGGATGGGGCTCGAGAGATCGGAAGGGATCCAAGGATGCTTCGTACACAGTGCCTGAGGCCCCTCGTCCTCAGGGCCCCGTCCGTCAGGCCCTACGCTCGAGTCGCCGACCCCTCACCGGCCACAGGGTTGAAAGGGGGGAAGGACAGCAGCAAGCCGCAGTGCGACTGCCCGATGTCGAGCCGGATTGTTTTGCTTCTGCGGCTTCAACGAGATTCACGTCGACGGGAACCCCAGTGTGGCCCCGGTTGTCCCGTCGCGCGACATCTCTTCCGTGACCATCGGTTGCAGGGAGTGTGTCTTTGAATTGGGACGAACGGCAATTCTCGCAGCGTGCCCCCCACAGACATGAGCTGCAACTCCTACCGCACCTCTGGGGGCCATTCGCAGCAGTCTTGGACGCATTGACCATTGGGGACCCATTGCCGTTCTCTCAGGGACACCCCAGAACAACAAAACGATTCAATGTGTGGCTTCATGATGTAATGCTGCTCCTTCTCTACAGGGCAGAATGCCCAGCTTGGGGAGGGAGCGGAGCTGTGCCGGCAGCTGACGGCCAGCGTTGTCGGAAGAGGATTTGGATAATCGCATCTGTTATTCCAGCATGTGCCAGCGCCCTGGACGCCGCGGCATTGTCGCGCGACGCTGTCGGAGAGCCCAGCGCGTTCGCATTGGACTACACATTCCATTCGTTGACAGGAAAAGGGGGGTGAGCTCGTGTTGTGCGTTTGTCCCCTTCGTCTGGCGGGGTTGGCGAGGGAGAGCAGCGGAGGGGAGGCGAAGACGGCAAGAGAGGCCGCCGTTTGGGCAGGCCGGGTTGTTGACGATTTCCCGGCAGGAGCGCGAGATCGCGGAGGAGAAGGAGGAGGGGCGCGTCAGCCCCGACCCCAAGAAATTGGACCGACGCCGCGATGTGCAAGCATCGTCAGCTCTCGCCGCATGTTTGCGGCCTGTTTCGATCTCAGCTCTCATACGGAAAATGTTTCAGCCCACAGTGTTGTCCATACCAATGTGTATCTACAGGGCAGCCTCTGCGCTCATCCCTCTCGCTCTCTCTCTCTCTCTCTCTCTTTCTGTTTGTAGTTGTTGTGTGTGTTGCATCGCTTCGCTCACTCTGGCGGCTCATATTGCATCAGTGTTGCATTATCGGCGTGCTCATGGCGAGTGGGAAGGAGGGGAGGAGGAAAAGGAGGAGGAGGAGGAGGAGGAGGAGGAGGAGGAGGAGGAGGAGGAGGAGGAGGAGGAGGGGAGAAGACCTCTCGATGGCTTCTGGGGGCACCCTTGGAACAACGTGGGTCGTGGACAAGACGCCTCTCTTTGGGAGGCGTCTTGGTGTCTCGTGGGAGGCCTTTTGGGGGTCCTCCAGGCGGCATTTTGGAACCTCCCAGGGTCTTTGGGGGCCTCTTGGGGCTGCGCCCAGGCTGCGCCCAGGCTACTTGTCGCCCAGCGGGCCCCAGGAGCCACCCCGCCTCTCGGCAGGGAGGGTGACGCATTCTTATACGTGGCAGTGCCGCGCAGAGATCAGATGTCCAGAACATTTGCAGGCTGGCGCAGGCGACCGCCCAGGCGTCAGCAGTAGCGCCAGCAGCAAGGGAAGGGACGAGGAGGAGGAGGAGGCAGAATCAGAGGATCATCGGGATGTGGAGGCGAAGGCGGCCAGGGCGCGCTGTGCAGCCGAGGAGAGCGAGACGCCAGCGCCACACACGAGCGGGGAGCTGGCGCAGGTGGCGTCTGGGAGGAGTCGGGGGAACAGCCTCCGAGCGAATGCCGCGGCACTCGCATGCTCTCGCTGGCTCCTGCTGCCCCGCGTGATGCCGCGCAGGGCTCGGACATGCTGGCAAGCAGGGGTTCCGTAGCCTCTTGGCCCAGGCCCATCGCCGGAGGCCGCCGCCGCTGGCATGGCGCAGTTCGCCGAGGACGCGCGGCCCCGCGCCGCCAGGGGCACGGCGGCCCCGTGGTCGCCCCTGCGGCCCAGGAGCATCCGCTTCGCCCTCGAGCTCGCCGCGGCGGAGGCAGCGCCAGCGGGCGGCTCCGCTCTGCTGCACCAGGGCGGTGGTGCTCTGGTGCCTCCCCGAGAAAAGGTGTTTCTGTGTCCAGATGGGGGTTTCGGTGTCCTCGATGAGTGTTTCTGTGTCCAGATAGGGTGTTTCTGTGTCCCAGTGTATGTGTGTCTTGGAGTGGGTCTGGGTTGGGAGTTTCTGTGGCCGGCGCGTGGGCCGCCAGCTCTGGGGGCGTTGCCAGCTCCGTTGGCCCTGGAGCCCGAGGACCCCCACAGACAGAATCATCCCTCACCCTAACAGCACGACGAAGGGCGTGGCCTCATCGAGGTCCCCGGCTTCGCATCATGGATCATACATCTGGGCGGCTTGGTTTGGCACATCTGCGGGAAAGACCCCCTATCCCTACTAGTGTGTTTGGCCCTCCTAACCCTTAAGTCCCCTCCCAACGGGGCAGGGGTTCTCGTTTGGTTACTCCGAGGACGCCGCGCGCCCGCGCAGGCCGCCAGCCTTCGAGCTGCCCGAGAATATCTCCAGGCGCCCCCGGCTGAGCCTCGGGGGGGCTGCGCCCTCCGACGCGGCGGGCGGCCCCGGTCCTGCGGCCGGCGGCGGAGCGCCGCTCCCCGCGCGGAAGCGGCCGTGGCCCGGCGGGCCGCAGGGGCTCACCGCGGGGCGCGGTGGCGGCGCCGCCGCAGAGGCCCGCAGAGGCCCGCAGAGGATGCGCTTCGGCCTCGCCACGAGGAGGACGGGGCCCGAGCGCGCCGCCATGCGCAAGAAGCGGCTGCACGCTGCGAAGCGGGCCGTCAGCCGCCGAGTGGCGCTCTGGCGGTCGCGCGTGGTGGACGGCGAGAGGCAGCTAATCTACGTGGCGCTCTCGGGCGAGGCGCTGCCGAAGGGGAGCCGCGCGTTCCGGGCCGCGAAGGCGGACGAGCGGTACCTCAAGGCCCGCCGCATTGCCTCTGTTGGCCCTTCGCGGTCGGCGCTGGAGAGGCCGGAGGAGCTCGAGCCGTACGCGAGCCGCCGCGACGGGTGTGATGCTCACGAGTTTGCCTTCTGGTGTGTGCCCGAGTGTGCGGAGGCGGGCTACCGCGACCAAGGAGTACGCCGGCTCTACCAGTGGCAGGCCGAGTGCCTGCAGGGTCCTGGCGTGCTGGATGGCAAGCCTGTCGTCTACACCGCACCCACGAGCGCGGGCAAGTCGCTCGTGGCGGAAGTCCTGATGCTCCGCCAGCTCCTGTTCCGTGGGCGGCGCGCGCTGCTGGTCTTGCCCTTCGTCGCGCTGTGCAGAGAGAAGGCGGACCAGCTGCGTCAGCTCTGGGGCGGCTGCGGCGTGCGCGTGGAGGAGCTTCACGGCTCCTCGGACGGCCATTGGCATGCCGGTTCCGACGTCGGCGTCTGCACCATAGAGAAGGCGGGTGCCCTCCTCAACCGCATGCTGGAGGAGGACGGCGGCCTGCGCGACATCGGCACGCTGGTCGTGGACGAGATGCACCTCCTGGGAGACGAGGGCCGCGGCTATCTGCTGGAGCAGATCATCGTCAAGGCGCGGCTGGGCGCCGCGGCAGCGGGGGTCTCGGCGGAGCCCTACGGGCGGCTTCAGATCATCGGGCTCTCGGCCACGCTGCCGAACGCGCGCGTGCTGGCCGACTGGCTCGGTGCGCACCTGCACGTCTCGGACCACCGCCCGGTCCCGCTGGGCCTCGCGGTTTCTTCGCGCGGCCAGCTGCTCGGAGCAGGCGGCGGCCTGCAGAGCACCGAATCTGCCGCTGCCGCTGCCACGGGCGCGGGCTCGCGCGACCGCGACGGGCTGGTGCCGCTGGTGAGCGAGTGCGTCGGAGCCGGCCAGGCTGTGCTCATCTTCTGCGCGACGAAGGACTGGTGCGAGAACGCCGCCGCGATGCTCGCGCGCGAGCTCGCTGCTGCGCCCGGCGGTGCCGTCCCAGCAGTGCCAGCTGGCCGCCTCAAAGTCTTGGAGGAGCTCCGGCAGGCGCCGTCGGGGCTCTGCCCGACACTGGCCAGGACAGTGCCGCAGGGCGTGGCATATCACCACGCCGGGCTGACCATCGAGGAGCGCTCGATCCTGGAGGCGGCCTACCGCGAGGGTGTCCTGCGCTGCCTCTGCGCCACCTCCACGCTGGCCGCAGGGGTAAACCTGCCAGCGCGGCGCGTGATCATTCGTTCAATGCGCTGCGGCTCCGAAAGCCTCGACGCCATCCGGTTTCGGCAGATGGCCGGGCGTGCTGGCAGGCAGGGGCTGCAGAGCAGCGGCGACTGCATCGTGATGGCGCAGAATGGGCGTGAGGTGTCCGACGCGCAGGCGTTGATGGCCGCCGAGATGCCCCCCGTGCGGTCCCGCCTGCAGGGCCACCGCCTCTGGCGCGCCGCCCTCGAGGTGATCAGCCTGGGTCAGGTGCGAACCGTGGCCGAGCTGGAGGGCGCCTTCGCGCGGTCGCTGCTGCGCTTCCACGAGGAGCAGTTCGAGCCCCCTGCCGCCCGCGCCGGCGGCGCCGAGGCCGCCCCCGGGCTGCTGGAGGACCTGCGCGCCGGCCTCGGGTACCTCGAGGAGCAGCGGCTGCTCCGAGTCGGCGCCTCGGGCGGGGCGGGCGGCGTGGCGCTCCTCGCGACGCCGCTGGGCGACGGCGTGGTGCACGCCGCGCTGCGGCCGGCCGAGGCGTTGGAGGTCTACGAGGACCTCCGCCGTGCGCGCGGGGGGGTGCGGCTGGACACCGACCTGCACGTCATCTTCCTGGCCACGCCCATCACGGCGGGGGCGGAGCCTGACTGGGTGCGCTTCCTGGCCAGGTACGAGAGGCTGCCCCCCCGCGAGCGCGCGGTGGCCGACACGGTCGGCGTGCAGCACGCCTACCTGCGCATGCGGTCCCGTGGGCGGCGCGGCGCAGGCGCAGTGGGAGGAGCTGCGCCGGCAGAGGGCGGCGCCTCTGCACAGGACCAGCGCGTGTCTCCAGAGAGGCTCGAGGCCCTGCACAGGCGCTTCTGCGTCGCGCTCATGCTCCTGGACCTGACCGGCCAGGCGCCAGCCGCGCGCGTGGCCTCCGCCTTCGGCGTGCCGCGCGGCGCCGTGCAGGCGTTGCAGGGGCTGGCCGCCACCTACTGCAGCATGGTGCAGCAGCTGTGCGAGCGACTCCGGTGGCACGAGATGGCCGCGCTCTTCGAGTCGCTGAAGCACAGGCTCGTCTTCGGGGCCTCCGGCGAGGTGGCAGCGCTCTGCCAGGTCCAGGGCGTCTTCCCCGTCCGCGCGAGGGCGCTGATGGACGCGGGCATGGCGTCCGTGGAGGAGGTGGCGCGCGCGCCGGTAGCTCAGGTGGAGGGCGCGCTGAGGCGGCTCTACCCATTCGAGTCGCACTGCCAGGGGAAGGGTGGCCAGGAGGAGGCGGCGCGGTGCCAGGAGCTGGTGATCCGCGAGACCGCGCGCCGCATCCTGCGCGCGGCGCAGGCGCATCTGGGGGAGGAGATGCAGAAGCTCCAGGACGAGGCAGAGGAGGAGGAGGCGCAGCTGCGCAGAGCTGGGGCCGCAGCGGGAGCCTGAACAAAAGAGCGGCACGTGCGGCCACGTGCAGAGCCTGAGTGTTGTCTACGTTTGGCCGCCCTGCGTCACTTGCACTTCTCTGTGGGCGTCAGTCGTGGTCAGAGTCCCTCCGATTGTGATTTTGCTGATGACGTTGGCTCTGCATCCCCTTCTCCTTCTCCTTTTGGTTATCCGAGCGGTTTTGTCCAAAAACCATTGCACTGCTCTTTGGCCCCGCTGCAGGAGGACGTGGAGAGGCTCACGAAAGAGCTCTCCGATGACGAGCGGAGGCCGATGGCGGATCCCTGCGGGGAGAAGACAGAGGACAGCACGGGCTTCAGATGATGCAGCGCCCGTAGCTTGCAGTTCATGGCTCCTTGTTCTGGGGTTGGCGAGAGCGCCCAAATCAGAAAGCGTGGCACGGGCCATCGGTAGGGCTCGGGAAATTGCAGCGGCATGGTCTCCATCTCAGACCCGCTCCGCTAAAGTAGGTTGTCACCCGTGCTGGTCTGACACTCGGGGGCGAGCGCCGACGTCGTTGTGCACGGGTGCAGGGCACTCCCGCTGAGTACGGGTCACAGAACACCGTGTGCGCAAGCCGGTCCCATCTGTCCAGAGCAACCCGGGGTAGAACTTCGAGAGTCCAGGAGGAGTCTTTTGCAAGTCCTGTGAGGCGCACCTGGCTTGCAGTACGATCAGGAGCTCTGGCTCAGCCCATGGCTCGGCGCGACACGCCACCTTCTCCCGGGCCTCCGAGCGTCAACGCCCCGAGCTTCTCCGAGCTTCCCGCCTCGCGGCGCGGAGCGACGCACCCGGAAGTTCCCCACCGCGGCCCAGCCCCCAGGCGTCAGCGTCCCGAGCCCTTCCCCGCCCCCCGCGGCACGCGATCCGCTCGCAGGGCACCGCTCGTCGCCGGGGCCGCCGCCTCGTCGCGCTGAGCAGACGTTTAGTGGCACGTGAGACCTGCAAGCGTTGTGAGACTCTCGTCCGCCCGGATCACTCATCTCGGCAGCGCGCCCAGGAGGGAAGTGAGAAGGAGAAGGCCTTCTCAGAAGGCTCGGAAGCTCCCCGGCCTTCAGAGAAGTTTTGGAAGCCTTCCCGAAGACACCGAAAATTGATCAGAAGTCGCAAGGGATCCTGAGAAGTCCCGCCGCCTTCTGAGATGGCCTCCTCCGTTTCACTTCCCCCCCCTCGCTTGCCGCCGACCATCATCTCTGCGCACCTGCGCACCGGGACTGGTTGCGGGCGTCGCGCGTGATAGGGCGACGAATCTGCGCTGAACTCCGCCCGCGCGCGTCGCGTGCCCGATTATGGGCTCTTCTGCATCACTTGTTCCCCAGTCGGCCCGCAGCACAGCTCCTGGGCAGTCATACAGGCAGGACGCTGAAGTAAGGACCACCTTGGGCTCACGATGGGGTTCTGATTTCCAGGCCATTCCTCCGATCTAGATTTAGGTCGGGGATGTCTTCCTACTGGCGGACTTTGGAAGAATAATCACAAATAGTTATTCAAAAGAGGACGAAACGTCGTCACCAGATGCTTTTCTATTATTCTTGTAGAATCTTCCTGTGGAGGGACATGCCCGACTTCAATCTGGGTCGGGGAGCGCCCAGGCCCAGTCTATAGGCCCAGGATCGGCGTGCGCATCCTCCCACGGCCACGCCAGCCCCTGGGCCCTGCTGCGCTGGGCCCCAGCAGGCCTGGTGGTGGTGCTGCCCACCAGCCTCCCGCCCACGCCCCGCCTGCAGCGCCCGCCCCTGGGCGGGCGCACCCGGCCCAGGGGGCACTGCGGCAGCGGCCGGGCGGGGGTGGCGGGAGAGCGGCAGGAGAGGGCCAGCTCCGCGAGGGGTGGCGCAGGAGCGCGGGGCAGGGAAGCGCAGCCTTCCTGCATCGACCCGGGCCTGGGTCCGACCACTGAGCACACCTCAGGACAGCGCCGGGCTCCACTCGGGATCCCGCAAGAGGGGGGGGGTGCCCGGGGGTGTGCGTGAGTTCGATCGGTGTTTGCACCGCACCGCCGAAAACAGATGCCCCAAGTCGAGACCAGCTCCCGATATTTGCCGACAGGTGGGGGCATGCGGGGGGCATCTGGTTGTCGCAGTTCGGTGCACCAACGGATCGAACTCATGCCCCCGCTCAGGGTCAACCCCCCTTGTGGTGGATCCCGAGCCATGGGCCCTCTGCCCGGAAACCCGGCACTGCGGACAAAAATGCAACATCGCGAAAGGTCACGGCTGTAGCCCCAGACCCCATCTTTCTGCCGTTTTCGAGCCGGATCGATCTTGTGATAGCCCCATGAGGCCCGAAACTGGGCGAACACGCCCAGAATGGAAAGCTGCAGCGCCAGTACCTCCCCAGACGTCTGGCGCTTGATTTCTGCTCGAAGCATGGACCAACAGAGGTCTGGACAGTTTCCCTGATTTTTATCCTGAGCCGTTTGGACGGTCCCAGGGCCCGTTGAGGGCCCCTGGAGGTCGAAAATTGCCAGAAACCCGTCGCTCGAATTTGCGTTCGGATCAACGGGGTTCTGGGTACGGAAGGTTCTTGTCGTGTGCGGCGACAAAGCCCAGAACCGGCCAATATGGAAAGATCTGGCGATCGTTGGACGACCCATTTGAAGTCAGAAACCGAAGCCGGTGTCGTCACGACACGAATCTGCCGTACGGCCCGACCGATGTATAAGGTCGAGGCCGGTCCGGGGAGGGTACCCCAATATTCTTCGTGGTTGTTGGATGTTCTTGTGCATGCTGGGGGGGGGTACCTTTAGATGTTCCGTGTGGTTTGGCCGGCGGATGGTCTCATGTCCCTGAAGGTTGGTCTTCTGTCCTACAGCCCTCGACAACATTTAGCTCAAAAACGCATTACGCATACCTTCAATGTCGGTCCCTCCAACGTCGAAGGAAGCCGACGCACGCTCTGGAGGGGTGCGACTGGGCAGTTCCATGCTGACCGACATTGGAGGAGGGCGCCAACAAATATTTCGCTCTCGTTGACATCCAATCCGAGGCAATCATATGCGCAAGTACCGTACGTTCTTCGTTTGACGACTTGCGCGGCCTCTGGCACTGCGTGGACCCTTCATCTTTGAACAGTAGCAACTTTTCAAACATCCAAATCGTGCACGTCGTCCGACTCCGGACCGCTGGCGTCGTCCACCCTGGAACGCCCGCGCTGGGGTCGTTGCCGCGTCGACAAGACACGAGCCTACCGTAAGATACGTGACGCCGTTTTAACCTGAATTTTGCCGAGGTTTGTACCAGAGGCCAACTACGCGGTTAGCTTCCGCTGGAGTACGTCTGATCGCGGACGTTCGTGCACGCAGGACCGCGGAGGGCGTACACGTACACATGAGCGACGCAAAACATCGGGGTCGCCTGCGCCGACATTGGCACGTAAGCTGCCCGCGTAAGGTCGCGCGTAAGCGCCCTCGTCTCCACTATGGCGTGCCGCGCGGGCGGCCCGCGTAAGCCACCGTGCAAGGACGTCTGTGTCATCTCGCGTGAGACCTGTTGTTGACCAGGGCTCATCTGCCCCTGCTCGCTCCTTCTAGCTCCGACCGTACCTCCGGCTCCGCCCGATGCTGCCGCTGGCCCCGGGCGGGCCCGCTCTCGGCCTCCGCCGATGCGCTCTCGGCCCTTCGCGCGGCGGCGGCCCGCGCCGCGGTGGCCCCCGGCAGTACCCCGAGAGGGCCTGGCGCGCGCGCGCGCGAGCGGCGCCAGTGACGGCGGCGGCGTCGTCGTCGTCGTCGTCCGGCCCGCCTTCTGCACCAGCGCGGGCGCGCCAGCAGGAGGAGCTCGAGGAGGCGTGGCGGGCGACCTTCGACGAGAGGGCGGCGAAGGTTGCTGTGCATCTTCGGGGGGCCTTTTCTGTCCTGTCGATGGCAGTCTTTTTTCTTGTACTCCGTCGTGGGTTCGACGTGGATTCGACACGGATTCGACGCAGATCGCGGCGCGAAGGGACAGACGAGGCCCCTCGAAGATGCAGCACAACGAAGGAGGCGCTGGAGGAGGGCGGCGGCAGCGCCACCCCCGCGGCGGCGGCAGCGGCGCCGCGCGTTGCGGTGGCCTGCGCGGCCGAGCCTGGAGGCCGTGGTGGTCCAAGCCCTGGGACGGGGAGGAAGAGGGGCAGGGGGGGGGGAATGTGGTGGTGGAGGAGGAGGGCGAGCAGGAGGAGCAGGGCGAGGACGATTATGATGAGGATGGTGAGGATGATGAGGCGGAGGCGGAGGCTGAAGAGGGAGAGCGGCTGGCGGAGGGGGTGGGGGCCCAGAGGCGAGACTATCCGCGAAGGGGAGTTCTGGGTGCTGCGCGCCTCCCCGTCCGCCAGAGCCCATGCAGCCACGGTGCCCAGGCGAGGTGCACTGATCGGGGAAGCGGGGCAGCACACAGCGGAACGGAGAGCTGGGTAAGCCGTCGAACCGCAGTTTTGGTTCAGTCAGCCCGAGCAGGCCCAGGAGTGAACACACATGCGCCTTCGTTGTCACGTCAAACGATGCAGGGAGGGGGAAGAGAATGAGGGGGCGGGAGGAGGAAAAGAGTGAGGAAGGATGATGGAAAAGTGGAGAAGTGGGAGGACAAGGAGGAGGAGGAGGAGGAGGAGGAGGAGGAGGAGGAGGTGGAGGATGAGAAGGAGGAGAAAGGCGAGGAGATGGAGGATGACCTTGATTGAGCACCGTCACCCAATTCTGGTTGACCCTAATTGGGAGGAGTAGGGTTGTCCCTCTTTGGCTCGACACGGCACCTCTTGGCACCTTCTTTGGGCGCAATGGTAGCGCTCCTGGGTGTTCTCGGGTCGTTGTTTGAGCCATGTTGAAAACATTCGTGAATATCTTGGGGCATTATTGGGACCATCTTGGGAATATTAGGGGCCCTCTTGGGACCGTCTTGAAGGACATCGATCAAAGAAACGGGGCGTTGCCCCCCTGGAACCCATACAGTCGCGTCTTGGGGGCCTCTTGGAGCGTTGTTGAGGCGCTCTTTGTAGTTCGTGGGGCAGTCTTGGGACCCCCTTGGGCCCCTTTTGGAAGTAGTTAACCTGGGGCCATCTTCAGGCTTAGAAAGCAAATCGGAGGCGAAACGGCGAGATGGCCAAATGCCAAATGCATTGTTTGTGCATCGGCGTTGGAAGGATGCTGGGCTCTTCAGGACCTCCTTGGCAGGCTCCGCGGCCACTTGTATCAGTCTTCAGGCGGTCTTGTGCCGACTTGGAATATGATGGAAACCATTTTGAGCGTTCGTACGCCATCTTGTTACATCTCGGAGGTTCTCTTGAGGTCCCTTGGGCCATCTTGGAGCAGTCTCGGGTCATCATCGACGGTCCAATCGGTCGAACCCCCCCGTCCGTACCCAGGGGCAGGAGTAATTGCATTCCCGATGGGGAAGAATGGGGTTGGAAGATGAAGTGCTCTAAACCGCATTCGCACAGAGGGCTGGTGGGATTCAATCCGACGGCGTTGCATAGAGAATCAAGGCGGTGGCATTGAATTGTTCTGGCCAGGGCAAGCACTAGTTTCGGCAGCGTTCGCGCGGACGGCACAGCGAGGCGATGCATTGGAAGGCCAGGACTGAGGGCGAGCAGGAGACGGAGAATCAACCAGAGAAGGAGAAGGAGGAAGAGGGAAAGGCGGAGGAGCAGGAGGAGAAGGAGGAGGAAGAGGAGGCTAAGGAAGTGCAACCGAGCTGTGTGCGGGAGTACGTGGTCATTGCCAGGTCCGATGATGAGACTTTGGTGGGATGCGGGGGCGCGCGGCACGGGACGCGACGACAACCCTACGCTTCGGGAGACGGGGCCAGGCAGAAAGGAATCGCGTAGCGAATGGCCACAGCGGCGTCGGCCCCACTGCTGGGAGGCATCCCTAATCCGGGGAGCCGCCATGCAGCTCTGACGCCGAGCTCTCCGCTCCAAAGCGTCATCTCGCAGGGGGCGCACGTGCGCGTCACAGGATTTATCAGAGCCCGAGCTGGACCGCAGCCGCCATCGCGTGTCGCCCATCCCAGGAGGAGGCGTGCGGGACTGTGCTCCCGATGGCGCGCCAGCCACGCTCCCGATTTGGAATGCTGTGCGGGCCTCAGCGTTGGACCACGTGCCCGACTGAGCGCTGGTCGCCGTCCTTGCTGGGAGCGGTGCTCTCGCTCCAGCGCCAGCTGTGCGCCTAACTGGGTATTTCCAGGAGGGGAAAAAAACACACAGACACAACGAATCGTCGATCCCCCAGAAAGTATAGGAAGATGTGGGAAGTGGGGGGGAAGACAAAGAGCACAAACATGTACGGAAATATGGGGGATCCTGTCATTGGTGTCTATTTATTTGTATGTCCCAGGGCCCCTTCGTATTTGTGCTGCTGCTCGAGCGCTGAACACATCTATGACGGGTAGTGGTGCTCTCGCTTGAGGGCCAGGCGTCCTTACATGTTGGGACGTGCATTGTTTCCATGTTGGATGCTGTCGGTGTTGCGCTTCTCCACCCTCTCCTCCGCACACCCTGTTTTCTGTCCTTCTCAATTTCCTCGTCTCCCTCATCCTTGCCATCATCCTCTTTACCATTAGCTCTTGAGTGTCTACATATGTTGCTGTTGCCCGTTGCCGCCATGGCCGCCGAGCTCGTATGTCATGTGCCGGTTTTGTGTTCTTCAGATCGAATTCTCTCGTTGGGTTTTTTGTTGGTCAGGGACATTCCTGAAAGCAGTGCTGCCGTCCCGAAGTTTCCTCCCTGGCGGCTGCGAGCAACCGCGCAGGTCTGGCACCTGTCGGGGCCGCTGCTTCGCACCTGCAGGCGCCCGGAAGCTGCCGCCGCCGCCGCTCCCCCAACCCCCGTTCCGTTCGCCCGTTTGCGCAGACATGTCCACAGCGTTTCGCGCCACCACGTCAGGACTAAATTGCAGTACGGTGGATTCGCGTCGTGCCGACCAGCGGCGGCCCCGCCGCCGGCGACCCAGAGCCGGTCGATGTTGAAGGATCGGACGTTGTGGGAGCGGCCATCGCTCAAGGTGGAACGATCCCCGCGGTGTCAGAAACCAACGCCGGAGTCGGCACGGCACGAACCTGCGCTGGGCACGTGAAGTGAGGAAAAGGCCTGCGGCAGGTGCTCCACCGAAGTTGCGTGTCCCCGTTTGGCCCGGGGGGCCCACAGACGCCCTGGGGCACCTCGGAGCCCTCATGGACTACACGTGAGAGTGGCCGTAGACTAGAGTGACTTTGGTTTCGCGGCTTCAGGGGCGCCCGTTGGGGCCCAACGCAACCGCGCTGCTGTCGCACCACATGTCATGGCCCAAACCGGCCTTCCCCGGGGGGGGCATACCATGTATGAAAGTTTCAATAGTGGAGGACACCATCGGTTCGGAAAGATGTTCAAAGATGTTGAAAGATATCCAAACATTTTCGAAGACATTCAATCGGAATGATTTGGGATTTGTGCTTGGAGTCGGGCCGCTCTTGTGGCAGAAAAGACACCGCCCGGTCGACCAGCCCCCCCCCGGGAAGACCAACGCGCGCTGCAGGATTCGCCAGGGATGTGTTGCATTCGATTGCGAGGGGGAGCCCAGCCCTGGCGCGCTCAGACCCCACGCTGCGGGCGCCGACGCGAGGCCAATCTCAACTCCAAGAAGAGATGGCCCGACCCCCTTTTGGGTGCAGCACCACCGGTCACTCCTGCGAAGGGCCACTTCTTACGTGCAGTGGACCTCAGAGGTCGACGAAGACTGTGGCCCAAGATGTCTCGCAACAATACGTAGCACCGCGTGTGACTGCTATAGGGCAGAGTCCGTTGTGAGCCGTTTCGTGAGGGCATTTCGCCTCCGAATCGGGTCAGGTGCTCCTGCGTCCTGTAGTCGGTGTGCCTCGCTATCTTCGTACGTCGACCGATTTCCACTTCTTGGGCCTGCTGGGCCCTCTATGGAGCATTGGTTTGACAGCGCCCGCGGTCGGAGCCGAGGCTCACTGTACAGGCGGTGGTAGCATTTTCGTAGCGATGCTAAAGACGAGTGAGATGATGAGAAAGAGGAGGAGGAGGCGGAAGAAGAGGAGGAGGAGGAGGAGGAGCAGGGGAGAGTGGAGGATGAGGAGGAGGAGGAGGAGAGTCACAATGATGTTGGGTGCATCTTTGATGCATGCTGGTCGTTGCAATCATGACAATCACGATGATCATGGTGATGAGCGTGACGACGACGATAACAATAAAGAGTACGGCGATAACAATATCGTTGAAGTTGGCGCCTGCGTTGTAAACAAAGCGCTGGCGGCAGGTTGTATGGAGGAGCTCCGACTTTGGTCTCGTAACGGTGAAATCCTCTTTCGCACACCCAGGGAACACCCCTGTAGAAAGAGGAGGAAGAGGAGGACAACGACGAACAGGGGGAGGAAGAGGTGAGGCAATGCTTCGTGGACGTTGTGGAACCTGCTTGGGGCGTTCTTGGGGTGTTCTGGGATAGAGTTTGGTCTTCGTGAGCCACATCGACAACATTTGGGGATTCTTTGGGGGTCCTCTTCGAGTCCACAGAAGCGCAATGGAGAAGCGCAATGCAACAGACGGTTTTCCATGGAATGTGCGCCGGGTAGACGACACCACGTGGCACACACCGTAAAGATGCCACTCTAGAATCCAAGCAGGAAAAGCACGCGGGCACGGCATGGTAATCTCGCAACTAAGGCACGGCCTAGCACGCGGGCGCAGCACTGCACGGCAATGTTTGTCGCACTCTCGAAGCTAGGTTCGGCACAGCACGTCACGGCAAGCTCTTCGCATTCTGCAGCATGGGCACGGCGGGGCAGCATCTTCGAATGCCCAAGCTATGGCACGGCACACGGGACCACATGTTTTTGCATTCTTGAGTTGAGACACGGCGCGGCACAGCACGGTGAATCTGCGCATTCTAGAGGCCAGACGCGGCACGGTTCGGCACCGCACAGCCGTTTTCCCCTCCGCCGTCTTGCAGCCAGGCGCGCAACCTGATGGGCCTGTTTTCCACCACCACCATAAGTTGGAGGGGGGAAGAAGGAGGAGGAGAGGGAGGAGGAGGAGGAGGAGGAGGAGGAGGAGGACCCCCTCCCCCTCCAACTTGTGGTGGCGGTGGTGGAGAACGGGCCCATCGCAATCTGCACGCCAGGGCAGTGTCTTCGCCTTCAGGACGCCGGGCCTCCGACGCAGCACGGCACGACGGCAGCGCACGGCACGGCACGGACTTCGTCTTCCGACGGCCCGTTGGGGCACGGCACGGCGCGGCGCAGCTCCGGGCACGGGCACGCCAAGGGGCCCGTCGTCTTGAGGGAGCGAGGCCCTCTGGCAGCATGCGCTGTCCAGGGGACATCGCACTCAGGGAGCTGGGCGCGGCAAAGCACCAGCATTGCATTCTTCACGAAACGCTGCGCGACACGGCACGGCACATCGCATGTCGGAATCGAAGCACGGCACGCCGCGGCCCCGCAATGGCGCTGTCTTTTTCTCGGGGTCTGGAAGATCGAATGGCTTCTCTCCTCAAGAGGAATGAGGCCTTTAACGCATTCGGTGTTTAGGGGGGCACGTAGTAGAGGTTCATCAGGCTGCCGCCACGCGTCTTTTTTGGGGTCGTCTTGGGCGCCACTCGAAGCCCTGTTGGGGCGCCTTGTGGTCATCTGTGGCCCTCTTCCGCCATATTCGAGCGTCTTGGGAGCCTTCGAGGGCGTCTTGAGCGGTCTGTGAATTTGTTCGAGGCCGCTGTTGGCCGAAAGCTGGCTGCCTCTTGGGCAGTCGTCGGCCCACTGGGAAGCCCTCCTGGCCCCATCGCGGGAAAGTTTTGGGCCACCCTTGGGCCACCTGGGGGCGCAGCCTCCTCGCC